CTCCCCCTCCTTCTTCACTGACCTTGATGTCTGCAGAGTTGTTTCTCTCACTTTGTCTCACTCCTCTCTCCTCACTGCCGTTTTACTGAGTTTCTTCCCCTTCGTAAATGTTATCCCAGAGGTGCTACCACCATCGCTGATTGGCTTGGTCTTGGGCAGCAGCGGGTCCATCTCGGAGCCAGCTGGTACTGGCTTTATCAGACATGGGGGAAGCTTCTCACAGAAGCCACCCCTATAGCCCCCCGCTACCAAAACCTTGCCACACAAACCCGTAACAACAGATCAGAGTCAGAAGTGAGAATCCAGGTCTTCCGAGTCCCAGCCCTGAGCTTCAGCAACCAGATCACACCGACACGTGCAGAGGACCACAAGCCCATCATTATCACAGTATGTCACTGCCAAGCAAAACCGGAGTCTCCCTGAACTGAAAGGGATGAAAACTGAAGCAACACATTTGGCATCTGTGTTCCTAATTTTCGATTATTCTAACATTGCCGTTACCCTGTCCCGTTACAAAGCCTTCCTAGAATTTGTGAGTGTTCACACCAACATTCATATAAGTGTCCTGTACAGAATAAAATAAATCTAATTCATTTCAGCTCAGCGTTACAGAATACCAAGCACACACAGCAGTAGAAAAGCACATGAAGGAAATAAAAATCTTGATGCTTTACAAGCAGTTACTATTTTTTTTTTTTAATAAAGTGATAAACTAAGGGTTATTTTTCAAACTACATCCACCAGAGTTGGAGCAGGAAGAACTCCGAAGCTCCACACGTTTTCTGGAGTCAGGGATATGACGTACTCAACAGAAATGCATTGGCCAATTTAAAAAACCAGCATGAGTGTGCGGTGAGGAAGAGCCCGGCCTGTTCCGATGGGTGGCCGGTCTCCCCTCCAGGGCTGACGAGCTTTCTCCCAGACCGGGTGCTGACCCCGGTGCCCACCTGGGTCTCCCCCAGCATGACCCAAGCTGCCCACCCATGTCTGAAGCGGGACGGGGCCGTGCCAGCACCCATGGGACACGTTCGGCCCCTCTCGCCCGTCCCAGTCCGCTCCGGGGAGACAGCACGGTATGGCGGGGGGGCCGGGGGGGGGCGGCCG